GAGACTAGCGGACTTGTTGGGACTTGATCTGAGACTTGCAGACTTGTTGGGACTTGATCTGAGACTAGTAGACTTGTTGGGACTTGATCTGAGACTAGCGGACTTGTTGGAACTTGATCTGAGACTAGTGGACTTGTTGGGACTTGATCAGAGACTAGCGGATTTGGTGGGACTTGATCGATCTGAGACTAGTGGACTTGGTGGGACTTGATCTGAGACTAGTGGACTTGGTGGGACTTGATCTGAGACTAGTGGACTTGATGGGACTTGATCTATACACATCTAGATGTGTATAAGAGACAGAGTGGACTTGTTGGGACTTGCTCCGAGACTAGCGGACTTGTTGGGACTTGATCTGAGACTAGTGGACTTGATGGGACTTGATCTGAGACTAGTGGACTTGCTGGGACTTGATCTGAGACTAGTGGACTTGGTGGGACTTGATCTGAGACTAGTGGACCTGTCTCTTATACACATCTAGATGTGTATAAGAGACAGGTTGGGACTTGATCTGAGACTAGCGAACTTGTTGGGACTTGATCTGAGACTAGTGGACTTGGTGGGACTTGATCTGAGACTAGTGGAGTTGGTGGGACTTGATCTGAGACTAGTGGACTTGTTGGGACTTGATCTGAGACTAGTGGACCTGTTGGGACTTGATCAGAGACTAGCGGACTTGTTGGGACTTGATCTGAGACTAGCGGACTTGCTGGGACTTGATCTTAGACTAGTGGACTTTGTGGGACTTGATCTGAGACTAGTGGACTTGTTGGGACTTGATCTGAGTCTAGCGGACTTGGTGGGACTTGATCTGAGACTAGCGGACTTGGTGGGACTCGATCTGAGACTAGTGGACTTGATGGGACTTGATCTGAGACTAGTGGACTTGATGGGACTTGATCTGAGACTAGCGGACTTGTTGGGACCTGATCGGAGACTAGCGGACTTGGTGGGACTTGATCTGAGACTAGCGTACTTGGTGAGACTTGATCTGTGACTAGCGGACTTGTTTGACTTGATCTGAGACTAGTGGACTTGTTGGGACTTGATCAGAGACTAGTGGACTTGTTGGGACTTGATCTGAGACTAGCGGACTTGCTGGGACTTGATCTGAGACTAGTGGACTTGGTGGGACTTGATCTGGGACTAGTGGACTTGTTGGGACTTGATCTGAGACTAGTGGACTTGCTGGGACTTGATCTGAGACTAGTGGACTTGATGGGACTTGATCTGAGACTAGTGGACTTGATGGGACTTGATCTGAGACTATAGGA